AGTCCACCTTACTTACTAGAATGTAGCTCTAGGTAAACCTGTAAAGGAGTTTGTCTTTTCGGGAGTCCCTGTATTAAACGACTCTATTTTTGTCTCTTAGTAAACCGCATGCAGTTTTATACTAAAAGTTTATCCAGGAGGCAGACACTCTAATCAGCCTTTCCCCTGTTTTCCAGGAAAACCACGTGCTATGGCTAAATTGTATTACCACCACCACCCCGCCCCGCCCCCGCCCCACGCACACATTCTTATGTGGAAGTCCTTGGCCCCAGGACCTCCGGATGTGGCTGTGTTTGGAGACAGAGTCTTTGTAGAGATAATCAAGTCAAGATGAGTTTATTGTAATGTGATTCGACACCGATATGGCTGGTGTCCTTCTTAAAAGGTGAAATTTGGACACAGAGGCAGGCACATGGGGGCGTGCCATGAGAGCTTGACCGTGGCCTCCTATACTTCAAGCAGAGAGACCTGGACCGTGTTCTTCCTTCTTTGTCCTCCGAAGGGACCAACTGTTCCAATTCCTTGATTTTGGACTTCCACCTTCCAAAACTATAATTTCTGTTTCAGTCACTCAGTTTGTGGTACTTTATTATAGCAACTGTAGCAAATTAATACACTGCACAAGAAATTAAGAATGTTTAATGTCTCTGGGAATTTCTGTTAAGAAAAGATAACTGAAATTATGCTTATTTTTCTTAATTCTAAGAAATATGGTGATTAAAATTATGATATTCTGAATGCCTAGACTCAAAGTGTGTTTCTAGCTTATAAGAGGTATGTTAAATTTGTTTGCCCATAATTATTTAGAAAACATTTAAATAAATATCACATATTTAAAAGTTATTTCAGTCAAGTCAACTATCAGATATTGAATTCAAAGCAATGGATATAAGGAAATTTCAAAATTAAAATCATGGGCTGCGAACCAAGGTGTCGCTGGTTTGATTCCCAGTCAGGGCACATGCCTGGGTTGCAGGCCAGGTCCCCAGTAGGGGGCGAGGGAGAGGCAACCACACATTGATGTTTCTCTCCTTCCCTTCCTCTCTCTCTAAATATAAATACAAATAAAAAATTTAAATTAAAAAATTTTAAATTAAAAAATTTAAAATCATACATTTGTAGAATTTGATTTTATTTAAACTTAAGCTTTTAAACAAATCTAGATATATTGAGCACTGCACTGGCAATATTGGAAGAATATTCCAGGAAGGGGTGCAGGGGAAATGCCACTGTGGCAAGAAGGGCGCTATGTACCTGGGAGAAGGGCTTGCCAGCCAGGAAGAAGCAGAAAGTGTGCCCTTCTCCCTCCAAAGAAAGAGATGAGAGAGAAATGGAATCAGACAGGAAGATTGAATTTTTTTGACCTCCTTTCTTTGTGGGTAAACTTTATAACTACAAAGCACATTTGATTTTTGAGGAAAAGCTGGAAGAAGAACTACGATGGAGGAAGTGATGATGGCAGGACAATACAAGTAGTGCCATAGTGTGGTTAGGTAGGAACACCCCATTTGTCTCTTTCCTTCCTGCCCCTTCCTACTCCCACCCCAGGCTGCCTCAGCCACAGTGTGGTCTATATATAAATGACCCCAGATTCCCAGCAGTCCCTAAGAGATGTCAAGATGCTTGAACTTGCTGGAGGGACAGCTTGCCAGCGGAAGTCTCCTGAGAGATGGTGGGATGGCAAGGCCTCTAGGCTGTGCTGCGAGTGCCAGAGCACATTCCCTCTCTCCTGTACCGTTTCTCGGCATGATTTTGAAAGAAACAGGACCAGCCTCCAGGAAGGAGTCAAAGTACCTGTGAATACTTTTTGGCAAGTGGGTGTCAAGATAGCCAGGAGAGGTTTGGAGAAGTTCCACTAGCCTTGGACTTTGTCAGGACCCTGGAAACAACCTGATTAATCATGCCTTAGTGGAAAACAGCACAAACACAACGGCCACCTGAACTATGTGGTGAAGACCAGCCAAAGGGTAAGCACAAAGTTAGGGCCCCAAACACCAAATGCTCCAAGGATAATAATGTAGGCACCATCTTGGGGGAAAAAGAAATAGTTCCTTAGGGAAGCTGGATTTAGCATTGACTGAATATTGACGTATTCAGGAGTCAGGAAAAGGAGACTGACTTACGTGAGAATGTCTGGGATATCACTAATGATCAAGTTAATGATCTTCCATAGATACTAAAATGGGTGAGACCTTGTAAAGAGGATTACATGTATAACAAGAAATAAATAGGCAGCATTTTCTTTGTGTGTTTATTGATTGAAATATTTGGTTTTAATTTTAGATAATTAATTTTAGTTTTTCAACAAATAATGACTCCACCAAGATGCATAGATATTTGCCAAATAAAGAGTAATTCTAAAACATAATGAGATGCTGAAATATTGCTATGAAGTTTCTGAGAAAGCTATAAATATCTCCTGTCAATCCCTTGGTCTTTTACTGATAAAACAATACTAATACAATGTCTAAAATGTCATACTATAATTTTTTTCTGAAAATATTGATTAAATCTGCTTTCCATTTAGCAAGCTGGAGTGATTTGTATCCATTGGTGTAATATAAAAACACTTCAGATAAAATATAAAAGTTGCAGCTCTCCACTCCCTTTTCCCTTTTTGCACTCTTGTTTTTTCTTTCACTTGAAACATCTAATTAAAAAAATAGTGTAAGACATTATACTTGTTCACAGATCTCTCAATAATCTCTCTTAACAGTATGGAATATAGATTTCTTGCTAGTAGTTATTATGGAATGGTTGAAATTTTCTTTTCACCTGTCCATCACTGCCAATTCTCATACAGAAGAAAGGAGGCACATATTACTTTTATATTAATTGTAGAAAAGAAAAGAGCAGTATAGATTTTAAGTAGAATAGCCTTTAAATTTACTCTGTGATAGACTTAGGGATTAAAGAGTGTGCAGCTTATACAAAGAGTAATAGTATATGTTTAAAATCAGACTTTGACCTCTGTTTCTGTGACTATTATTTGATGATAGTATTGTGAACTATTTTACTTGCTTAGAAAATTCATGTTGGACTGTTAAACAGTGTACTGGGTCATAGTAGTTATTGCAAAGAAATTGGGTAATTACAGGATATTCCCCCAAACTTACTTGCTTCTGGGACAAAGTTATTCTCAAAACTATTTAGCACATTAGAAAATGTGAATATTTTTTACTTAAAGTATAGCTCTCTTGCTCAGTGTTTTTGAGAATAACATGTATTATGATGATTTATGTGTCAATATTCAGGGAATGAGGAAGTTTTTTTTGTTTGTTTTTTTTTTTAAGATTTCATTTATTTTCAGAGAGAGGGGAAGGGAGAAAGAGCGGGAAAGAACCATCAACGTGTGGTTGCCTCTTGCATGCTCCCCACTGTCCTGGCCTATAACCCAAGCATGCGCCCAACCCAAGCATGCGCCCTGAAGGAGAATCCGGAGAATCGCACCAGAGACCCTTTGGTTCGAAGGCTGGTGCTCAATCCACTGAGCCACACCAGCCAGGGCAGGGTTTTTAAATAAAAATTAAGATAGAAATTTTTGAGCCTTGGAAATTACTTGGAGCTGTCCACAAATTATTTGCTACCTCTTTTTAAAGACCAACATTTTATTACGGTATGTAATTTGGTTTGAGTGAATGAAGTTGTAATCTTTACTTCTTTATTATGAATATGGCTTATATTTGAGAGATGTTTTGTAAACATTACAGACTTTTGACTCTTTGCCAAAGTGAACATTTTTGGAATAGCATTAACTATATCTGGCTAGACTTGAATAATGACACCACACATACTCACAAACACTCATACACATAGAAAGAACTGAGCGAGGAAGCCCCGTTCTCTTGAAAGTCTGAAAGGATATCTAACATAAACTAAGTCGTGGACTCAGATAATCACTGAGACCCAGAAAAAGTCACTCTCCATAGATAATATTTTATAATTTTTGAGAATAGTGGTTTGTGAAACTCTACTGTGTTTTTTAAAAGGCTGTTGCACAAAGAATAACAGCTGAATTTGGGGGGGTTCAGAGGAAGAACAGATTGAAGTTTTCTGAGCTGTTACTACTTATCCCAAAAAACCCATTGGACTGTGAGAGGTAATACTTATCTCCATTTCCACAGTCACTCACCTCATTGACTCAACAGAGATCTCCTGAACAGCTCCCATGTGTCTGTACTTGCTGAACGGGGGTGGGGGCAGGGGCACACTAGCAAGGTTTCTGCGCTCAGAGATTTTTTTTAAAATCTACTGGCATGATTTGATAATAATCAAATACTCAAACACATAGTTGCAAGCTGTGAAAGGAGGGTTGTCAAGCGTTTGGGAGCTGGGGTGACTATGTGACTCTTCCCAGGAAAAGGGACTTTAAGGAGCAGCAGTAATCAATCCTATAAGCAGGGGGAAGGGCTGCTGATGTGCTATTCCGGGGAGCCCTGCCGGAACCTAAAAGTCCTGCCCGAACTGTGATTTGGGAACACTGCAAAGTCTTCGGATGAGGCTGGAGAAATGGGTAGGAGCCTGTCCTGTATGAGTTTTATAGGACTGGTTCAGTATTTTGATTTTTATAGTAAGACAGTCTTCAAATGGGTTATCTCCTGTTTATAACGACGGGCAGACAAGTTTCCATGTTTCTGCCTGCGCTTTCTGGTGAGCAGGGTTTGTTTGTTTGTTTGTTTTCTGCTTAAAAAAAAAAGAATCATTTAGGTAGGTCACACTTTCTCGGCTTTGTCAGAGGCTGCCTATCCCTGTGCTCATACTCTTGTTTGACCCCTGAGGAAAGGGTGTTTGCAACTTCCCTCAAAGATCACTGCATATTGTACTTAAAAAAGCACTTCGAAGAGCGGCTGCACAGCGAACAGAAAGGGCAACCTGCAACCCCTGCTCCAACTGTGCAGGCGGAGTCTGCGCTGCTGGGGCGGGGGGAATGGGGGGAGCTCAGCGCTGCAACCCAATGCGCATGATCATTCAGCGTTGCCAAGGCAGCGGAAAGGCGCCACCCGGAAGAGGACCCTGGTAGAGCTGCCAGCACCCAGTGGGTCCTGTACCGTGCTGTCTCAGGCCTGACTGGTTCCTGAGTCAGTCTTCGCCAAGGTAAAGCTGCCGAGGAGCCGCGTCTGTGGCAGCGGGGGATGGCCACCCGCCTAGAAGCTGAGGATTCAGAGGAGCAAGGTGAATTGGCCCAAACGGACATCAGCACTACAGCCGAACTTTTCAATGAGACCATCCCGTCCTTCTCTGATGAGGTACAGAGTTCTGGTTCATTCAGTTCCTCCGGAGAACTGCAGCCTCGGTCCCAGGACTCTGGGAGCAGGCCTCAGAGTGGAAAGTCCACCACATGCTTGGGATATCAAGATAAACCATCTGAACTTTCAGAAAGGAGGTTTAGTTGGAAAAGGATCAACTATCTTAAGGGCAAAGAAACTAATTCAGGACAGTACCAACCAGACACTAGACTTCAAACAGAAATCACTCAGGTATCTGATGAACAGTTGAATGCCCTGCAGTCTTTTTGCACCAGTAGGGTGAACCTGATCCATCACAGAACAACCTCTAAGGAGAAAAAGAGTAGCAGACGTAAAAAGCTGCCACATAGATGGGATGCAGAGGCTTTAGACATGGGTGCCTTAAACTGTACCGTCCCTGATGAGCTTATGAACAGAATCTGTTTAAAAAACGTGATGGCAACACTAAAGCAGGTGGCCACAGCTAAGCAACACATTTCTTCTAGGTGTCTGCACTGTAACAGAAAAAGAGCAGAGCTGGCTCAATCTGCCTTCCTGAAACGAAAGAAGACTTTACTGGAGTCACTTCTACTCCAAGAGAAAATAGACGAACATCTTCATACGGAAGATGTTCTTACCCATATTGGAGAAGCACACAAGGGCCTTCCCAGGCTTTCAGATGACCCCAGCATGATCTGGAAAAGACTGAAGGAGGAAAGTCAGAAGAGCTACTCTGGGTTTGAAAGGTCAGATACAGAGCAGAGGATGTAGCAGATTGGAAATAGTGCTTGGCATTCTAATAGTGCTTTTGCTCTATCACTTCTCAAAGCTCTTATTCTAACCCAACAGGAGATGCTGTTTATTAATGATAATGTGTAATGTGGATAGATGTTTCTCTTGTGTATCTGAGTAATTATCATTTCTACAGGCTCTTTGGAAACTAACTTAAAACTTTATTATGCTTCTTTCCTAGATTTGAGGACTAAAAGCTTCCAAACCAGCCTATTTTCAGGGAGGTCCTGGTGGTTTGGATTAGGGTTTTGAGTGTACAGATAGAAACACAGAAATGTAAGAGATACTTAAAGAGGTAATAATTGACAGTCTTGGTGAAGAAATGGATATGGTATTTAATGAAAGGTAAATATTGAGAGTGTTACTAAGTTTCTGACTTCTGTACTTGAATAAATAATAATTTCACTAAATTACATAGAGAAATATTGGAAAGGATCATGTCTGATAAGGCTGATGAAGACTGTGATTATTTGGACATGATTGTTTAGAGGTACATTAGAGGCATCCACTTTGAGGGGCTGAGAAAGTTTTGATTATTTGTGCTCACAGTCTGCAGATTTGAAATAAAGGGAAAGGACCATAGATCATTGGCACGTAGTTGGAAATTGAAGGCATAGATGTGGGAAGCTGTTCTGGAAGAGGGTAGGGTGAGAAGTGAACAAAATATATGGCCAACCCCTGAGAAATTCCACAATTAATGGCTGGACAGAGGAGAACAAGCAAGCAGAGAGTTAGAAGAAATGGTCATAAAATCATAAAACCAGGAACTCGTAGTGCCATTGAGAGCAAAGAAAGAGAATATTTCAAGAAGGAGAGGTTTTATGAGCATGCAGATGCAACAGAGAGTTCTTGTGAGAGGATGCAGTCATGTGTTGGGTTCTGGTCATCTTAGCAACAGCCGCTTCACTTATAGAAATTGACCAGACAGGCCAAGTGTGTTGAGGAATAAATGTAAGGAAACGAAGGGTGTGAATATAGACTTCTTGAAATTCAGCTGTGGAAGAAGAGAGGTAGGAAGCTGGAGATAGATGTATAATCGAGGGAAGAATGCTCCAATAAATGATCTAAAAACTATTTGGGTCATAAAGAGTTTATGAAACTTTTCTTGTCCATCCTGATTTCCATTCTAATGAAACAGTATCATCCCCTGAAAATACCATGGTCTTTTGAAAACATATTTATTGGGGAAAATGTTAGCCAGCATTCTGAGAAATTATATTTATTTTTCATAAAAATGTAAATCCTATAATTTGTGACAATACCTAGAGGTCATTTTTCTACATGTCTAACCCTTAAGCTATCATGGTTGAAAAAAATTTATAAAAATCAGCATAAAATTGTATTTATAACATATTCCAATACCGCTCTTTGATTTTAGATATTCATTTATGTATATATTCTTTCTCCTCTACATTTATTGCATTTAAGTCATTCTTAAATAAAATGGAAACCAAATCATTACCATTTCCATAGTAACTTTCTATTTGAAATACACATTATGTCATAACTTTATCTTTGGCATCTCAATATAGTCACATTTCACATAATCAAAATTCTGAATAATTTCCCATTTAGAATCCCCCATTAAAGGTCATAATCCGCCCATGTGGTTAACTAAGCTAGAAATCATAGAGTCATCTTTTGTTTTCCTCTCTTTAACTCAAACCCCAAGCTATATTTTGGCAAGACCATTAGATCTTTGTTCTTAAGTATCTCCTGACCACAACTTCTTATTTCCAGCTCATTGCCACCTCCTTCACCATCCCAGCCCTGCACTCAGTGCTTCTCCATATACTTCTCAGCATTATCTCTCTAACACACACATCTGTTCAATTAATTCTCTTGCCTGAAAAAATGTAAATGATTAATGTCATAAGAATAGTTTACATTGATCAAGGCCACATATTAAGGCCTCAATTTAACTGTATAATCTCATCTTCTATTCTCCCCACCCCTCTCTATTTAAGCTTCTCTACAAGACTTGCCATTCCCTCAGCTCCTTATGGTTTACAAGTACACATTTGTTTTGCTAAAATTCTCTTAACTGCCTTTTCCAGCTGGTTTGCTTCTCTTTCCCCCCTCCTCATGCTCCACCCTCCTACTCTCCCTCCTCTTCCTTATTTAGTTTTAAATGATAAAATTAAAATAAGTAATATATTTACATGGCTCAAAAATCAAAAGGATAGTACAGAATTAGTGTGCAAAGCTGCCCTTCCCCTCTGTTTCCAACCGGCTTCATTCTAAGCTGGCCTGCCACTCCCCTACTCCGCCAGGCTTAGCATTTGCTAGATCATGGGGGAGTCAGGTATCCTGGGGTAACAGCAGAGAAAGAGGCAATTCGGGGAACTGGGGAGTGGCTACTAACCAACCAACCAACCAGGACAGAATATTTCTGTTTTGTAACTAGTACAACCAAATTAGTGTATATGGCTAACTATGCATGTAGCTCATAAGAGGCCACTTATATTAGTTTCTCATGTATTTTTCTAGTGTTTCTTTATACAATACAAACACTAAAGATAATGCACTATGTACTCCCTTTGGTACCTTTTTGTTTTACTATTTCTTCTTGTGATAAAAAATACATATGTGATAAAATATACATAATACATATATATACATATATAAAGTAAAATTTGCCATTTTAATCATTGCTACTATTCAGTGCTATTGAATAATACTGTGAATTGTATTATTCAGTGGTACTAATTACATTTACTATGTTGTGCAACTGTTACTACTGTTTCCAAAACTTTTCATTACCCCAAAGAGAAACTCAAGTCATTAAGCAATAATTCCCCATTCTTGTCTCCTTCCCAGATCTTAGCAATCTCAAGTGTACTGTTTGTCTTTATTTATTTGCTTATTTTAGATACTCATATAAGTGGAATCATAATATTTGTTCTTCATGTCTTGCTTATTTTATTGCATACTGTTTTCAAAATTTATTCATGTTGTAGCATGTATCAAAATGTCATCCCCTTTGTGGCTGAATAATATTTTTTTGTATGTATTAACAGTATTCATTGATTTGTGATGGGTACTTTGTCTTCCCTTTTTGGTTATTGTGAACAGTGCTGCTATGAACATTAGTAGACAAATATCTGAGCACCTGTTTTTCATTGCTTGGGGTTTCTACCGAGGAGTAGAATTGCTGGATCACATGGTAATTTTATGTTTAACCTTAAACATAACATTAAAATTCTTTCCTCAGCAGCTATAGCATTTTTCATTTGCGGTGACGTGCAAGGGTTTGTTTCCTCTCATCCTTGCCAATTTTCCATTTTTGAGAAAGTATAACCATCCTAGTAGGAGTCACGTGCTGTCCCAGTTTGCTTTTGACTCACATTTTCCAAATGACGAGTGACCCTGAGCATCTTTTCTTGTTCATATTGGCCATCTGTTTATCTTCTTTGGAGAGATGTTTATTTAAGTCCTTTAGCCGTTTTTAAAATTGGGCTGTTTGTGTACTTTGTAGAGTTATAGGAGTTCTTTATATATTCTGAATATGAAGCCCTTGGCAGGTATAGCAGTTGCAAATATTTTCTCCCATTCCGTGGGTTGCCTTTTTGGTTTCTTGATAGTGTCCTTTAGTGCACAGACACCAATTTTAACGAAGTCAAAATTGTCTACTTTTTCTTTTGTTGTCTATGCTTTGGTTGTTATATTTAAGAGCTATTGCCAAATCTAAGGTAGATTTGTCCCTATATTTATTTTTAAGTGTTCTATAGTCTTAGACCTTGTGTTTAGATCTGTAATCTACTGCGAATTAGTATTTTGTTTATGGTGTGACGTAAGTCTTCATTATTTTGCATGTAGATATCCAGTTTTTCTAGCACCATTTTTGAAGAGATCGTACTTTCCCTGTTGAATGATCTTGATTTGCCCCTTGTGGAAAATCAGTTCACCATAAATGTGAAGGTTTGTTCTGTTTCACCGATCTATATCCCCATCCTATGCCACACTCTTCTGATCACTGTGCTTTGTAGTTAGTTTTGAAATCAGTAAGTGTTAAATACTTGTATTCATTTGGTTCTTTTTTTTTCAAGATTGTTGTGGCTATTCAAGATCCCTTGAGAGTTCATATGAATATTAGGATGGATTTTTCCATTTCTGGAAAGATACCATTGTAATTTTGATAGCAGTTGCATTGAATCTGTATATTGCTTTGCTTAGTGTTGTCATCTTAACAATATTAAGTCTTCCAGTCTGAGCACAAGGGCTATCTTTTCATTTATTTAGGTGATCTTTAATATCTTTCAACAAGATTTTATATTTTGCAGTGTATACATTGTGTGCTTCTTTTGTTGAATTTATTACTAACTTGTTACCTTGACTGCTATTGCAAATAGATTTCCCCAAATCCATTTTCTTTTTTGATGTTCACTGCTTCGTACATAGAAATACAACTGATTTTTGCATGTTAATTTTGTATCCTGAAACTACTGACTTTGTCCTAGCAGTTTTTAAAAATGGATCATTAGGATTTATTAGCTACAAAATTATGTTATCTGCACACATATAATTTTACTTTTCTTCTTTTAATTTGGATCTTTCCCCCCCGCCTTGTCCAATTACCCTGGCTCTCACTTTCAGTACTATAATAAATAGAATTACTAAAAGCAGCCATGCTTATCACATTCCTGACCTAAGGGGAAGAATTTTCCATTTTTCACCATTGAGTATGATGGTAACTGTGGGTTTTTCATATATGGCCTTTTCCATGTTAAGAAAGTTCCCTTAAAAGGTTTTTTTATTTTTGTTTTGTTTTGACCAGATGAATGATCCTGTGGTTTGCCCAGCCTAAAACCTTACTAAACTTCACACTTAACCCTTACACAGCGACCGTGAGGAGCACACAGACTTTATGGCCTGTGTGCTCCTCAAGCACTGATATAATTTCATCCTACAACTTGTGTCTCAAGTAATCTGCTTTCTTTCTTACTTGATTGTG